CAGCAAGTTCTGTTTTTGTTTTGGATTCCTTGTCCAGTGACTTTACCACTATGCCACCACCTCTCACAGCTGATGTTAACCAGGATACTGCAAGACTACTGGGTAAGGCAGGATAATATGGTCATGCCCAACTATTGATCCTTGTTCTGACCCTTCTGCTGGAAGATATCTTGTGAGGACATGATCGAGGTCAGCACATGCCAGTGTGCCAAGGCTCACACATTAATAACACTTGGTATGAAGAATAGAGGACAACTACTGCCAAATGATCTGTAGATCTGCAAAGACTCAAATCACTTAGGAAAAGAAGACAAGGAAGACAATTGGCAGAAAAATAAGAAATAAATGCTTGGTTGTCAGTTTAATAAAGCAAAAAGGTTTATGCAATTTGATAACAACTTCTAAATTATATTCAATGTTCAAATGCATCACTGAAAATTCGCATGAAATAATAAATCAGTTGGTATGGCTTCCACTGCAAAATATTTCAAAGCAGCTCATTACAAGTCATTTATCTGTATTACACAGCTATTGTTAATCTGTGTGAATAATTTGCACTGACATGTCAAAGGAGAAATTAAGGCATTTCAATGAAATGCAAACAGATTTCGACAGGACACTACTATCTGGCAACAGATGTAATGGGACGTTAAATGGCCTGTGTGTGATCTCTTTGGGAAAAACACAATATTTATTCATGTAGAACACTATTTTTTAAGGTTTTTAAGAAAAACACAGCTGCACTATAAAGACTGCAGTTCAGTCAACTGATACACTGCAAGCAAATGTAGACACAGTCTCTTCAATGTAAATTAAATTCTTGGCATAACTTTGAACTTAGTTGAACTTCACAGCAAGAATCTGTTTGATATATACAAAAGATTAACTCAATTTGCTATGAACCAATATTTCCCAGGACCACTGACTGCAAAAGATACCTTAGTTTGCCACAGATGAGACTGCACACTTACCAGTCCAGCATATTGGGGAAAAAAAAAGCTATTTTCAACTCTAAGCACACAGATGTTAAGTGAGGATAGTCCCAGGAGATACAAACCAGACTGCTGAAATTGCATGCTGTTCTGTTTTCTTGCATCTTGTTTTCTACTCATTTGTAAACTTGAGTTTTAGGATACATTTACTTATAACTTTTAAAAAGTGTGAAAAGAAGGTGAGCCGTTTCTCTCCAGGATCTACCACTAAAATCAAGTGAAATTATTTACAATTTATCTACAGCCAATTAAGAACATGTTGATTCCAGTTGAAATGAACAGAAGGCAGTCTCTCCATGGTGTGGCAACTTCACAAGTCCTCTAAAAACATACTGTACACAGTAAGAACCATTCAGCATTCCCTATTGCTCTTTAGAGTCCAATATAAACTGTCACTAAGAGCTTATATAACAAGTTTGCTAAACAAGACTACTCTTCTCCTGCAATCCTCCTTTAACTCGGTTCAACTTTGTTTTACGCTTTTACAGCGGCTATCCTAGTGTTAAGATTGGAATGCTTTTGAAATTAATAGAAGCCAAAACTATAGCTTTGAGATTTGCAAAATGGGTGATCAGCCAGAGATATTCACTGCTCCTCTTTTAAAAGAAGTTTTTTTTTTAAAAATAGGTTTTGCCATTTATAAATTTGCATTCAATATCTGACATCACAAGGTATGTCAGCAACTAGAGTTCAGAATTTCAAGACTGTCAGCAAGAGTTAGGAGTGAGATAAAGAGAAATGTCTTTACTCAGAGTTGTTATGATTTGGAATACCCTCCCTGGGAAAGTGGTGGAGGCTGATTCTACAGGTGTGTTTACAAGAGTGTTGGATAGACATTTGAAAGTGATAAATTTAGGAGGACTACACAGATGAGGCTGGAGAATGGGACTAACTGCATAGCTCTTTTGGGAGCCAGTACAGGTACAAAGGATCAAATGGCCTCCTTCTGTACCGTAAAATTCTATGGTTCTATGAAAATTACGGCTCTGATATTTATGTGGATTTGGGGAACATTGAGGCTTGGAAACACAGGAATAAGTAAAATGCAGACATCCTACAAAGTTTAATGGCAGGATCTCATTTTAACATTTCACTACATTTACTAGGCAGCTGCGACAGTCTGTTTGCTGGGTTGGATGTCTCCTGCTAGATGGTTAGAGCAGAGGGCAGGGAGAAGATAATAAGTGGCAGAGGAGCAGAGGAGCATTGGGGAGTATAGACAAACTGGGATCAAGTGAATCTCTTGCGGAGTATAAAGGGGAGTAGAGGCATTCTGAAGAGGGAAATCAGGAGGGCAGAAAGGGGATAGGAGATAGCCTTGGCAGATAAGATTAGGACAATCCAAAGAGATTCTAGTACATTATAAGCAAAAGAGCAACTCGAGCGAGAATAAGGCCCTATTTTTGATATTTATTATCCACATTATTGAAAAGGTGGTGCTGAAGGCCTTAAAAAAACAAAGGTGGATAGATCTCCAGACCTGATCAAGTGTATTCCAGAAAGTCATGGGAAGTTAGGGAAGAAATTGCGGGTCCCCTAGCAGAGATATTTTTATCATCTCCAGCCACGGCTGAGGTGCTGGAGGACTGGAGAGTGGCAAATGTTGCGTTAGAGAGAAGAAGGTTAAGAGGTGACTTGATAGAGACATACAAGATCATCAGAGGATTAGATAGGGTGGACAGTGGGAGCCTTTTTCCTCGGATGGTGATGGCTAGCATGAGGGGACATAGCTTTAAATTGAGGGGTGATAGATATAGGACAGATGTCAGAGGTAGGTTCTTTACTCAGAGAGTAGCAAGGGCGTGGAATGCCCTGCCTGCAAAAATAGTAGACTCGCCCACTTTAAGGGCATTTAAATGGTCATTGGATAAACATATGGATGATAATGGAATAGTTTAGGTTAGATGGGCTTCAGATTGGTTTCACAGGTCGGCGCAACATCGAGGGCCGAAGGGCCTGTACTGCGCTGTAATGTTCTATGTTCTATGTTTATTTAAGAAAGGCTGTAAGGAGAAGCCTGGGAACTATAGACCTGACAGTCTGACACCAGCGGTGGGTAAGTTGCTGAAGGGATTCTGAGAGATAGGATTTACATGCATTTGGAGAGGCAAGGACTGTTTAGGGATAGTCAGTATGGCTTTGTGTGTGGGAAATCGTGTCTCACAAACTTGAGTTTTTTGAGGAAATAACCAAAAAGATTGATGAGGGCAGAGTGGTAGACGTTGTCTACACAAACTTTAATAAACCTTTGACAAGGTTCCACATGCTAGACTAAATAATTAAGTTAGATTGCATGGGATTCAGGGAGAGTTTACTAATTGGATACAAAATTGGCTAGCCGGTAGGATGCAAGAGAGTGACGGTGGAGGGTTGTTTTTTTGGACTGGAGGCCTGTGATCAGCGGTGGTCTGCAGGGTTCAGTGCTGGGTCCGCTGTTGTTTGTCATTTATATAAACGATTTCAATGCGAATTTAAGAGGCATGATTAGTAAGTTTGCGGATGACACCAAAATTGGTGGTACAGTTGACAGTGAACAAGGTCATCTAAGATTACGAAGGGATCTTGATCAATCGGGTCAATGGGCTGGGGAGTGGCAGATGGAGTTTAATTTGGATAAATGTGAGGTATTGCATTTTGGTAAATGAGCAAGGACAGGACTTTATAGAATTAATGGTAGGGCCCTGGGTAGTGTTATTGAACAGAGACCTAGGGGTTCAGGTACATAGTTTTTTGAAAGTTGTGTCACATGTAGACATGGTGGTTAAGAAGGTGTTTTAGCACACTTGCCTTCATTGCTCAGTCCATTAATATTGAAGTTGGAATGTCATGTACAGGACGTTGGTGAGGCCACTTTTGGAGTACTGTGCAGTTCTGGTCACCCTGCTATATGAAGGATATAATTAAATCAAAGAGGATTCAGAAAAGATTTACCAAGATGCCGGGAATGGAGGGCTTGAGTTATAAGGAGAGGCTGGTTAGGCTGGGACTTTTTTCACTGGAGCATGGGAGGGTTGAGGGGGTGATCTTATTGAGGTTTATCAAATCATGAGGGGCATAGACGAGGTGAATAGCAAAGGTCTTTTCCCTAGGGTGGATGAGTTCAAAACCAGGGGGCATATTTTTAAAGTAAAAGTAAGAGGAGAAAGATTTAAGAAGGGTCCTGAGGGGCAACTTTTTCCACTCAGTGGATGATTCGTATGTGGAATGAACTGCCAGAGGAAGTGGTGGATGTAGGTACAGTTACAACATTTAAAAAGACATTTGGACAGGTACATGAATGGAAAAAGTTTAGAGCGCTATGGGTCAAGTGCAGGCAAATGGTTTAGCTTGGGAAACATCGTCAGCATGCAGTGTGGAAAGGTTCTATGCCATCCTGCACAGCTCTCCTTTGCCCTGAAAGCAAATATCCTGGAAATCTCAAAGCTATTATCTCTACTTTTTGACAAAATTATCCGCAGCATCTACCAAGACTCAATATAATTTATTTACCCTGAAGAACTTCAGTCTCGATTACTACCTTTCGGCTGCTTCAATGATCGACTCATAGATACCTACACAAACCTGCTTGAGGCAGGAAACAGGAACCCCAAAAATTCTTTCCCTTTCTAAGCTGGGCATGTTTTGCCAACTGCATTACCTCTGTTATTAAGCAATGTACACCAAGGATCCAACCATCTTGGCCTTTACAGCAAGTGACCAAATGGGATATTTATCCATTCCATCAACAGAGGGAGCTCATCATTCATTAGATCGAAGCATGCACGCTTCCTCTATCCAACTGACTAATGTCTCACACACAGTTCACGGATTTGCCGCAACAAGTTCCCTTAAACTTTCTCTTTATATATAGTATCTTGCCATCTTTTTATATTTTGCACAAGAGAAGCTATAGTTGGAATCAACTGAAAGCAGGAATCCCAGAAAACATGACTCTGCTTGTTGCTAGCAACCAAGACTCGATAGATGTATACAGAAATTTCTCAAGAGTTCATTTTCAAACAGCCTTACTTTACAAGTGATTTCCAGTCCATAGGAATTTTCACCCCTGCTTGACTGGCCACCTATCTTTTCAACTCGACTGATCACTCCCAGAGGGATGTCAAGAGTCATCGAGGGATCCTGTACAAAAGCAAAAGAAGAACATAATTGCTTAAAATTTTAACATATTCAGTTATGTCACTTGCCTCAGACAACAAAACTTCACCTAAAATCTTTTGGAAATTCACTACTCTTCAAATTAGTCAAATATGATTAGACCTCATTATGAATGCTATTAGGCATCTGAGTGTGTGAAAACTTCAATCAAAATAAAACAGTTAGGAAGGAAAGTCATGGAATATAGCCTTGTTAACTGCATCCCTTAATAAGTTATTAACCTTGTGGCAACCTATTTCTGCATCAAAATTAAAAAAATGGTATTTTTAAAGAATTCCAGAAATTGAGAAATAATGAAAGAAATTAGGGATTAGAAAGTAGGGATTCTATGAAATGCAAGAAACCTTTTTATTGCATTCATCTTCACTAACATTGACAATTTTCAGCAGATTATAATGAAGTAATTTCTGAATTTTAGCAAGCTTTCAGCTCCAATGGAGTAGAAATTTTGCAGAGCAAGGAAGTCTTTTTCTGAGGGACTTACAAGCAAGGAAAATAGAGGACCAGAGGGAATTGTAGCTCCCTCTCATGCACATGTCTCACCAAATAACGGAATCAGCAAAATTTATAAAAGAAGGCATGACTACTCAAATGCTAGCTAACCTTAAGCAGGAAACATGGTGAGAAGGGATACAATGGTGCTTCTGTAAGTAAGGATGGCTTCTATCACACCAGAGGGTTAAGGCCTGAAAAGGTAAAAGGTTGAAACCTTCTCTTTGATAAAGTAATTGCAGGGAACTTCATAGATATGTTGAAGTTAAGATGCTAAGGTAATTATCTAATAAACCAGTGGTGCTATGACATGAATTCGGGCTAGTCTAGATTTGCTCTCTTCCATCTCAGCATAACTTTCCTTACAATGTTCACATTTGCTACATGTGGTCATAGTTGCCTCCTTTTGTGCCCCAGTACATGGAAACCGAACAAAAAAATTCAGATTTTATCACAAGTCCCTAAGAACACAATCTGATTGAGCCCCGTATTTACCCTAACACAAGATTGTCAAATGATGTCTGAAAGAAATTTCACAAATTCAGAGTTGGCTTGTCCAATCCATTGTCTCCTGTGTAATTGATACAATTGGAATAATCTGTGATAAACAAACTCAAATTAAACATTCTCACATTTGATTATCATTTGTATGGTGTTTAAGTAAGTTCTACTTCACATACCTGGACTCTCATGGCTTTGTTGGTAACATTTTTTAATTGTATAAAATAATCTATTGACTGCCTTTAAATTGTGAAGGAGGGCAAGTTAGAACTTCTTGAACCATGCACAGAGAACAGGAAAATCAGAGTTGATCCAGATTTGCATATGCCTTTCTTTCCCCTCAAACAGAATCATCATCTACCAGTTGGGAGCCAGTCGCATGGTTGATGAGAAACAAACACAGAAAATGCTGGAGAAACTCAACAAGTCTGACAGCATCTGTACAGACAGAAACAGAACTAAACCTTCATGTTAACATTCTAAAGAGGAGTTATAAAGAGTTGAAATGTTAAATCTTTCTCTTTCCACAGATGCTACCAGATCTGCTGAGTTTCTCCAGCATTTTCTATGTTTGTTTAGGATTTCTAGCATCCACTATATTTTGCTTTTACTTTTTCTCGTTAGGTTGGGCAGGTGAGGTAGGTAGTGAGTGTTCCACGTGAATTTGAGGGGGAATGGAAGAAAGGGACCTGCTACTCTGAGTATGCAGCAGGATGAATATCGGATATAGTATTAAGAGAAGAACACACAGGCTTTGAGATCAATTACAGCTATGCCTGCACTGTTAAATTGATTGTTGGCCAGGTTTTCAACCAATGTACAGAAACACATTGGAAGGTATATCTAGCAAATAAGTCAATGGAGAGCTTGTGTGCATCATGTGGTCTTGGGGAGTGGGAAAAGGGGAATTGGAAACAAGACTGTAGGCCTGAGGCAGAGCTTTAACAATCAGGAGCTAAAATGATTATTTCCATCAATATCTTCACGCTGAGTTAATAGGTTGGCTGAAGACATTCTCACCGTTTTCCTTACACCTCAGATTCAGAGCTTCACATTCATGGCCATACACTTCTCAGATTGGCAAATATACCACATCTGAAGGCTTGTGCCCTTTGGAGTTTGTGAGGGGTAGGAGGAAGGAAAAGGGCTGGACTGCCTTTGTGACTGAAGAATTTATAGTGGTGAGGTCGGGTGAATAAAGTTGCCCAGGGTCCCATTTATTTCTCATGTGCCATCCTACATGACTGTAGTTATTTCAAGTTGCTGCCTTTCACCACACTATTCTGGCAGGTGGTTTTGGTTTTACACGAGAAATACCATCAAAACAAACAAGGATGAGAAATACCGCTCATGATCAACATCTTGCTTTCTTTTTTCTTATTTGCCGTCCTACTCTAAGTTTGTTCTTAGTGCAAAAATATGAATTCAGGAGTGGGAGGAGAGAATTGGGAGGGAGGAAGAAATATTTTTGTGCAGAAAAGTTTTTTCCATTACAGAAATCCATTTGGAATCTTTGTAAAAAGAAGCTGGAGTCTTCCTTTCAGCTCTTAATATTTAAAGCAAATAATTCACATCGTCAAGGCCTTACAATTTAGAGTTCCGGTGGACCATTCAAGGCCAATCATTAGGATATCAACTGCAAGGCTGACAAAAGTGGAATAGTTTTTAAAAACATACATTCATACAAGTGCCTTGTATGTTTAGTCCATCCTGAAGTACTTGGTAACCAATAAGTTACTTTCAAAATGAACAGTCTTTCCAAAGGTAAAATTTACCCAGAACTTAATTTTTTTGAAAACAGGAAAATTTACATGCCATGACTGCAATTAATATCTGCAACTAAGGATTCTTGAAAAAATCTGACTGTAAAAAAAAATTCTGCTGCAACTTAGACACGATGTTTCGGAATAAGTTTCAATTTGAAATACAAGACCTGAGCAAATGTGGCTTTGGAAATGGCTGAGCTATAGACTAGGATTGTCCCATTTCTGGGGCAGGACATCTGGTTTTAATGTGGTCATAACATCAGGAACTCAATTTTGTTTAGGGAGGGAGAATTTCATTTGACACTTTCACACAAGCATCGCTAAGTAATCCATGATGGAAGTGCATGTTGGGTTGGGTCAGGAAGGGTTTTACACTGATTCCCTCAAGTAAATTCCCTCAAAGCCCATTGACCCTGTTGGTTTGTTCACATTGGTGAATTAGGCAAGATACCAGAGGACAACTGACAGCCCAGTAAGGAGTTAATAAAACGGTAGCAGCAAAAAGTAGAAATGCTCGTTAGCTTATAATGCATTTACAGTGTTATAGAGCTGTTTTAACACTATTGTAGAACTGAATATTTGTTTCTGCATTAGCAATACAAGGTAGTTTGTACTGTTATTCATGTAGGTTTGCACATTACAATATTCCAGATGTGGATGTTCATAGGCAGCACAGGACTGCTCAGGGGCTAGACGATTTAGAAGAGCAAGTGGACACCAGGCGAAAACATTGTCATAGCATCTTTCCCCTGTTTGAAAGGCTACCAATGTCTGCTTATAGGAATTTTCTAAAGTATGGTTTTACTTCAGACAGGGTGGCCACTTTAGAAAATGAGGTGGCAGCAGGAATTATATTTAAAATGACAAATGAGCTCAAAACCCAAGTAGGGAACAATGTTAAATAAGTTAAATAAATTCTAGACAACAGCAAATAACTGCATGAAAACTTTTTTTTTTGCAAAATAGTCTTGGTTAGGTGGACTGGCAGAGAACTTATGATACTTTTTTTAGTATAAGCATGGAATTAATTTTGTTTAACAAGCACAGACAGTAAATCCAATTTAGAATGTTTTCAATTTCATTTTCTTTTCATTTCCCTGGGCTGATACAGCTTATAACCATAGAAACGTTTCACTATGTCAGCAGCATGAACAGTACACAGTACAATCAATCTTGCATAGAACTTATTTAAGGGCACAAATGTTACTTTTAATGCAAACATAAGAATGCAGGTAATAGGAGCAGGAGAAGGCCATTTGCAGCAACAAACTTGCGCTCCACCCTTCAAACGGATAATAGCTGATCATCTCCATTGATGTCATTTCTCCCCATCATTACACATCTCTGCATCATTTGTATCCAGAAACATACAAATTTCTGCCTTGAACCTGTTCAATGATTGAGCTTTCAGAGTCTCCTGGGAGGAAAGAATACCAAAGATGCATCGCCTTCTGAGTGAAGAAATTATTTCTCATTCCATTCTTAATAGGCCAATCCTTAATCTGAGACTGCTTCTCCTGGTTTTAATCTCTGCAGCCAGGGAAACGTCCTGCCTAGGTGCACCCTGTCGTGCTCCATAAGAATTGAGATCACCTATGATTTTTCAAATATTTGTCGAGAATACAGGCCCAATTCCTTCAATCTCTCCTCTTAAAACAATCTCATCAATTGAGTGATTATTCTGGTGAACCTCCATTACATTGCACTCCCTCTAAGGCAAATACATCTTTCTTCAGATAACGAGTACACACTATTCCAGGTGCATTCTCTCAAGGCTCTATACAATTGCAGCAAGCCATCTTTACAGTAGTACTTAAATCTCCTTGCAATGAAGGCTAACATATTATCTGCCTTTGTTACACTTGCAGCCTAGTATTTAGCAATTTACAAATAAGGACATTCAAATCCTTTTGGACATCATCACTTCCCAAACATTCACCATTTATAAATATTTTGCCTTTGATTTCCTGCAAAGTGCAGAACAATACACTTATCCACACTATAGACATCTGCCGTGCTGTAGGCCAGTCACTCAGCATGTCGAAATCCGCTTGGAGCGGTCTCCTTGAACGCTCCTCACGGCTCACATTTGTAGCAAATAGTTGTCACCAGCCAATTCAGAAATATTAGATTTGGTACCCACATCCAAAGTACTGGAGAATAACATGCAACAATCCAGAGCCAAAAAAAACCAACCGGTGGAGAGT